AAAACAACCTGTTTGTAAAAGCAGAGAAATGTGAGTTCCATTGTACCACTATCTATTTTCTTGGTTTCACCATCTCTTCCAGTCAGATTGCCATGGATCCTGCCAAGACTTCAGCTATCGTCAATTGGCCCGTCCCCATGATCCGTAAGCAGCTTCAACGGTTTCTTGGATTCGCCAACTTCTATCGGAGATTCATAAAAGGATACAGTAAGATCACTACGCCTCTTCATGCCCTCACCTCCAGCAAGGTCAGTTTCCAGTGGAATAAGTCAGCCCAAGACTCATTCCAAAAACTCAAAGATGTTTACTTCCGCACCTCTCCTGCATTCCTCTGATACCACAAGACAGTTCATTGTCGAAGTTGATGCCTCGGTCTTTGGGGTTGGGGCTGTCCTCAGTCAGAGATCCAAGGACGATAAGGTACATTCATGTGCATTTTTCTCCAAGACCCTTTCATCCACAGAGCGCAACTATGATGTCGGGGACCGGGAGCTTTTGGCCATAAAACTAGCACTGGAGGAATGGCGGCAACGGCTGGAGGGGGCTGTCACACCATTCACTGTATGGACCGATCATAAAAACTTGGAATACATCAAGACAGCAAAAAGACTCAACTCTCGACAAGCCAGGTGGGCTATATTTTTTAGTTTTAGTTTGTAGTCTTGGTCTTATCACCCAGGAGAGAAGAACACAAAACCCAATGCCCTGTCCAGATCTATGGAACCCTCAATATCTGACCAGGTCCAGGACCCTGACTCATTGATCCTCCCACAGAGAGTTTTGCTTGGGGTGTCCAGACTGGAACTGGAGAACCGACTCCGACAGGCCCACCAGCAATATCCTGTTCCTTCCCAGTGTCCTCCTGATCACCTGTTTGTTCCTGATGCCCTTTGTTCCCAGGTATTCACCTTCTCTATTGCCATCCAGGCATCTCCAAAACACTTGCCCTCGTACGTAATCACTTCCGGTGGTCTACCCTGTCAAAAAACGTTAAAGAGTTTGTTCAGCCTGTCCTACCTGTGCCCAAGCCAAGACCTCTTGCAGACCCACGGCAGGACTATTACGCCCGTTGCCTATTCCCCGCCATCCCTGGTCTCACATCAGCATGGATTTCATCACGGTAATCCTCACCATTGTGGATTGTTTCTCGAAAATGTCACATCTGGTTCACCTTAGGAAACTCCCCTTTGCCAAGGACAGGGCCGACATCGTGGCGAGAGAGGTGTTTCGCCTTCATGGATTGCCTCTGGACATCGTTTCGGATTGTGGCCCTCAGTTCATCTCTGGCTTTTGGAAGGAGTTCTGTGATCATTTGGGCATTCAAGTGAGTCTCTCATCCGGTTTTCACCCCCAGACTGATGGCCAATCGGAGAGGATTAATCAAGAGGTGGAGACCAGGCTTCGTATACTCTGTGAGGGCGATGCGACCTCTTGGTCATGTAACCTGCCTTGGGTGGAGCATGCCCTCAACTCCCTTCCATCAAACTCCACGGGTGTGTCCCCATTCTATGCTGTCTATGGTTTTCAACCTCCCGTCTTCTCTCTGCAGGACCATGTGTCCAGGGTCCCATCGGCCCAGGCGGCTGCTCTCAAGTGTCATCAGGCATGGCGGGTGGCCCACAGGAACCTCGTCCACTCCTCTGCAGTCTACTCCCGCTCGGCCAACCATCGCTGCTTACCTGCTCCTGTCTACAATCTTGGACAACGGGTCTGGTTGTCCACTAAGGACTTTCCCCACCAGGTGGATTGCCGTAAGCTGGCTCCTCGATTCATCAGTCCCTTCCCTGTGTCTAAGGTCATCAATCCTGCAGCGGTCTGCCTCCGTCTCCCCAGGCCGCTTTGCATCCATCCCACGTTCCACGTCTCCAGGATCAAGCCTGTCGTGTCCTTGGCAAGTGTGCCTGCCTCTGGGCCCCCTCCGCCTGCCCGGCTGGTCGGGGGTGGGCCGGTTTGGGATGTCAGGCGGCCCCTACGATCCAGGCGCTGGGGTCGGGGACTTCAGTACCTGGTGGATTGGGAGGGGTTTGGCCCTGAGGAGCGTTCCTGGGTCCCCGCCAGGGACATCCTCGATGGGTCCCTCATCCGCGACTTCCACCGGACCCATCCTGACCAGCCTGCTGGACCGGCTGGTGCCGGTCCTTGAAGGGGGTTACTGTCATGATCCTGTTCCTGCCATGACCTGTTGCCACAGCAACCTCAGCCTGCATCTCATCAACTCCATTCATCTCACCTGTTCCTGTCATCAGATCATTACACACACCTGCTCCATCTGCTATATACTCACCAGCCAGCCACCAGTTCCCTGCCAGATTATTGAACACTCCTGCAAGTAAATTCTCCAGCCTCGTTACCTACCTTGTCATCACGGATCCCGAACCCTGCCTTGTCTCCTGACCTTCCTCCTCGCCGTGCCCTCCTAGGTTATATTCTGCTTCGTTCCCGACCTCGTCCTTGGATCCTCCTGATTGGCATTCTGCATCTCTGCTCCTCTGGTAATGATACTGCTCCGCTCTCGACCTTGTTTTTGGATTTCCCTGTCTGCACCTCTGCCCCTCTGATCCTCTGGCTCTGACCCTGTTCCGTTCTCGACCTTGTTATTGGATCTTCCCGATCGGACATTCCTCGCCTCAAATCTCCTGGTCACGACCGCCTGTCTCCTGACCTAGTTTTTGCCTCCTCCCATCATCACCTTATCCCCTTTTTAATAAAACTCTTAAAATGTGTCATTCTGTGTTGGGTGTTTCTTATGGGTCAGCCAGTTAAGTTCATGACAATTTGAAATAAATTTAACTTCATTGCTGCTTTGTCTAAAACATTCAGAGCATCAACTAATCATCCTAAAATGAACTACTTTTATTAGAAAAAACATATTTTCAGAAAAGGAACTTGAGCCTTTTCTCCTGCAGCAATGACTTGTGGGTAATTCCCTTGCCTGCAGACTTGGGTGAAGTGCAGATTAAGGGTGCAATGGGGACGTGGTGAACTTCCACACTTGAGAATCGAGACACCCTACGTGCTCGCACTGCTGGCCGGGAACGTGCAAATGAAGGGCGCAAGTATGAGTGTTGGGATTGGGCCTCAGAAGCCAAATGTGGTGTTCACATGAATTGTGTAGATCTGAAGACTTTTTTTTTGGGGGGGGGGGGTCTTCTGTCAGGTTTCAGCTATGGGTTTCTGTCACTCTTATGGAAATCAATCAGAGAACGAAGAGGTGGCTCCTCTTGTTCATAAACAATCTTTGTTCTAGTGTGTCAGTCATATGTCATCATTTGGCCAATCACAGTCAGAGACAGCACGCTGCAGACGGTGAGCCAACCCTAACCCACTCACAGTGGGTATGAGTGCTGTCGCTGTAACCTTTTTCACACCCTCTGAGTTTGCAGGTATGGGTGTCACTTCCTTTTCCGTTTACCTGCAGGCAGCAGAGGATGGCGTCGCCCTCTGCTGCCTGCGAGTCGGTGGCACAGTCCCATGTGTGATCTAAGGTGTTTGTTGTGTTCCACCCTTAGAAAATCATTTAACTCTCAAACATTTCATGTGCTATTCTGGCTGCAGCCATGTGACAAACACTTGTGAGAGCTTTTCACGCACACTTTAAAAATGAGCAGATTTGTTAATGGTACAGTTTGCACTTTGGTGAGCAGCAAAAGCACGAGTGGAGACTGATCACAAACACTGAGAGATGCTGAAGTATCGCACCATCTGGTTTTCTTTTGATACCTCATGTTTTTCATTGGGTTAAAAATTGAATCATATCTGTGCTCATGTTTCGTGATGTTGTGGACTGTCAATCAAACAGAGAAATATATCAACCTTACCTGGAGGTTAGCCAATAGCTCCTCTAGCCCTTCACCTTGCGATACCTTGTTCTATTTTATGTTCTTCATGTTTCATGCTGAAGTCTGAAAGCCTCTATTTTAACTTTATTTTGATAGTCTTAGGGATGGGTACCTTTGACATTTGAATCGATCCAGTACTAATTCCCGGTACCTAGGAATCGATACCGGTACTTAACGGTACCAATTTTCGATACTTTTGAGTGTTTATTATTTTAATTATCTTTTATAATTAAATATATATTTTTCTCAATATATAACAATATTTGATAGATATCACGATAAATAACATTCAACTGTTTGTATTTTAACATTGTCCTTGTAGTTTTATAAGCTGATAATTAAACTGAAGCAAACATCTTTACTGTGAGCTAAATATACTGTGTATCTTCATTCCTTTTGCCGTCTTTTTTCATTTGATTTTTCTACTGGGATGTTAGAATTTCCGAGGAGAAAGCGAACGCACCATTAGCTGATAACAAGGGTGGCAATGGAAGCTAACATACCAAGCTAACGTTATCTTAAACAGTTTATTTAGCTGCTGGAGCAGATTAAAATGATGATGCATCACACTTAGATTGTTGTCACTGGTTTCGTCTTCACCCGTCGCATTTAGTAAAGTGAAGCCAAACTTTAGAGCATGTTCATGTTCTTCTAGTCGGGAATTCGGAGTTCCGAGGAGAAAGCGAATGCACCATTAGCAAAACGGAAGCTAACATATCAAGCTAATTATATTTACCTACCGGAGCAGATTAAAATGAGGATGTCTCACTTAGATCGTTGTCGCTGGTTTCATCATCACCCAGTTACCCATCACATTTAGTGAAGTGGACCCAAGCTTTAGCCTGCGTTCTTTCTACCATGCTGCTCTGTTTACAACTGGTTCGCAGCGAGCGACGACATAACACTCTTGCGCATGCGCAGCTTTCTTGGCAAGTTCTCTTTATGATAGACGGGTACTGAAACGAGGCACCGTTTGAAATGACGTGAATCGGTGCTCGGTCGGTACTGTGGAATTTGGTCGGTACCTTAAAAAGACCGAATTCGGTACCCATCCCTAGTCACGGTCTGTAGTTGGTTCTTTGGTGCTACTTTGAAAAGGGTCCAATAGGGTGTGATATGTGTGATGTCCAACTGTGTGTTTGTGCCTCTGTGTTTTCACAGGTTCTATCTGGTCAGTGGTGGAGTTCCTCTCATCATCTGCGGGGTCACGGCGGCGGTTGATATAGACAACTATGGTAGTGGGGAGCAAGCACCATAGTAAGTGTGTGTGTGTGTGTGCGTGCACGCACGCGCGTGCGTGCGTGCGTGCGTGTGTGTGTGTGTGTGTTCTTGCACGTCACACATAAATGCGCCTGTGTGTTTTGCAGCTGTTGGATGGCGTGGGAGCCCAGCCTGGGAGCCTTCTTTGGCCCAATAGCCTTCATCTTTGTGGTGACGTGCATCTACTTCCTCTGCACCTTCATCCAGCTGCGGAGACACCCTGAAAAGAAGTACGAGCTCAAGCAGCTGACAGAGGAGCAGCAGAGGCTGGCCAGCATCGATGTGTCTTCCCACTGTCACCAGGGAGCTGAGCCCGGAGCTCTGGCAGCTCCACCCAGTGGGAGTCTTTGTCCCGCTGGCTGCCCGGGCGTGCCCATCAATCCGGCGCTGTTGGCCAATGAGCACTCGTTTAAAGCTCAACTACGAACAGCTGCCTTCACCCTCTTCCTGTTCCTAGCCACATGGACATTTGGGGCTCTGGCTGTGTCACAGGGCCACTTCCTCGACATGATCTTCAGCTGCCTTTACGGTGCCTTCTCTGTCACCCTTGGCCTCTTTATCCTTATCCATCATTGTGCCAAGCGTGATGATGTCTGGCATTGCTGGTGTTCCTGTTGTTCTGGACAACAGCCCAATGCCTGCCCTGTAGCGCAGGGGTCAGCTCAAGCACGGCCCAAAGTCAATGTGAATGGAGATACCCAGGAACACAGCCACTGCCACCATGACTCGCCGTGTCCAGCTAAAGGCCTGATGAGCTGCAGCCATGGCAGTTTAGCTCACTGTAAACATGCTGCGCTTCCATCTTCACAAAACCATGTGACATGCCTGGCACCGGTGGCACCATGCTGCTCTGCCCTGCACAGTCAGCAGCTGATAGAGGAGGAGCCTGCAACTGCCCACCTGCTACTCCACGCTGAGCCCGGGATCCAGCTGCATTCCTGTCTAAAGAGTAGTACCAGGACTAAAAGTCGGACATTTGGCCGCAGAGCCGGGGCCGCTGCATGTGGAAGAGGGACCGAGAGGGAATACGCCTACCACATCCCGTCCAGCGCAGATGGAGGCAGCATGCACAGCTCACACACAGACAGCCCCCACAGCACACGTGAGCGCCATGCTCACATTTGCCCTCATCTTACCCATGAAGGTCACCATGACGGGCATCACACATGCCACGCTGCAGCAGCTACCATACACGAGTCTCTGACATGCCACAATCCTTGCCACAAGCATATCTGCTGTGCCAGGGCGGACCTTTTTCCTTCCCTGTGCCCGGCAGAGGCAGAAGACACGGGTGTCTTTCTTTGTGGCTGCGGCAAAGTAGCAGAAGAAGATCCCGTGGCTACACATCACCACCTAGAGATGCATGCCCCTCGCAGACAATCCTGCCCACAAAACCCTCCCAGTCAGAACGGGATTCTAAAGGGCGGCCTGCAGGAAGGTCTCCTGTACACCTCAGACAGCACAGGGAATATACGCACGGGACCCTGGAAGAACGAAACTACTGTGTAGAGCAGGAGGAAGCAAACAGGAACAGTCCTGCCTCTCCTTCGCTCCCTTTCTAGATAAAAATAGAGAAGTGAGTTTTAAACATCACAAACGATATGGGAAGTTTTTATTTTCATGTCCACATGTTTTTATGTGTGCTGTTTTATTGTACAGAGATCTGAGACCATGCAAAGGCTCCTCGAGGAGCCTCCATAGACCAAACTGAAGCTCATCCATCACATGTGAAACGTGTCCCGCATCAAACCATCAGAAGTTACGGACAGATGTTCCACTGCTCCACACAGACCTATCTCTCTGTCCCTTTATATATATATATATATATATATATATATATATATATATATATATACATACATATCTATATCTATATATACAAGAAAATGAATGGTTCTATGTATGAAAATGTGTGTTAGTGCTGAAAGGCGTTTTTACAGTCGGAGTCTGACTCCACCAAGAGACCAAACTCTCGTTTTAGACAACCAAACCAGCAGATCTAGACTTCATGAGGGTCAGTCAGTCAAACTACTGTGAACACATAATAGAGACTTTCTACATAACGAGTGCAGATGCTGCTGCTGCTGGGGAGAGGTGAGGTGATGCAGGTGAAGATGTGGGAAAGGTTGGTGTTGATGATGACCACATTATCATGGCTGGCCAAGTTGGAGCCGCCGAGTCGTTTGGAAGTTTTTTGCTTATGTCGCACCGGCAGCAGCTTGTGTGGGTCTTTGACTTCTTACATCTCAGCTTGATGACAGAAAGTTGGTCTGCAGGATAAACTATTGTGGGAAAGACAAACGTGATCATTAGGATGTCCACTGTAGCATCATCAAGGTAATGAACGATACAACGATAATGAAAACCAAGTATGTCATCCAGAAAGGACAAAACCGCAACAGCAGCAAACCTTTATTCAGCTTTTACCCCAGAACAGGTCATGCTTGTGCATTTTTCTGATTCGTCCATAAAAATGGTTCATAAACTGCTTACCTTGCATAATTTTATAAGATTCTTGGTTAAGCCTATCCCAGCGGATTAGAGATCGTGTCCTAAAACATCTTTCAGGAGGTAGGAGGCTGAAGGATGACATGTTTGTTACAGCACAGTGACTCAGTTTGTGAGCATCGGTTGTTTTGATGCTTAGCTCTTGTTCTGTTTTCACTCAAACGTTCCTGATTAAAAATCTTTTCCTGGTCTCACAGACGTTCCCACTCTTAAATGTACAGAAACATCTGTCTCTGCTGTCGCAGCTCCTTTCTCTCCTAACACTGGCTCTCGCTGACTTTTCCTGCTGAACGTCTCCCAGCCAATAGGAAGAAAGACTTGAAGCTGACCAGCTGTCTTCTTCTGGGTGCAGACCAGTCTATTGGAGAGTAACGAAAATGTAGATGAGCACAGGAAGGGCTGAGAGCAGATTAATGCCCTCAAATCAACAAAACACACCCAGGACATGAATCCATAATGCAGACCCGCTAAAAACTGTTCTGGCTGCTATTCTCCGCTCGTACTGGTGGAGTTTTTTTTAAATGAGTTTCTTTCCTGCACAGAATTGGCTTTGACGCGAAGTTGAGTTGAGCGCTTCGGGAACGTCGGTTGTGGTAGAACCTTCAGCATCTCACGGATTTGGATGAATCCGTGTTACGTTCAAGAAAAAAGAGCCTTTAGTGTGTTTCAACCCGTGGAGCAAAAGATGGTTCAGAGCCCCAAATCGGCATGAAAGAGTTTCAACTCTGACTACAGCTGAGTCACACCTGTCCTACCTGTGCTTTTGTAATATAGAAGTGGTTTCTGGTTTTATTTTCGATGCGACTATTTCAGAATAAAGTCTAAATGTGAGGAGAGTTTGGGGGAATGACCTCTGTGTGTTAATAATACTCAGTATCTGAGTTTTACTGTTTGTTTGCGTTCATAAAGTATTCAGACTCGCTCTGTGTTGTGAGACTTCTCCTTTCATATCAGAAGCAGACCTGCATCCAGGTAACGACAACGCTTAGCCTGCCAGCCTCACAAACACACACAACACATGCGAACCCGGCTTTCCGGAGTCATTTGTACCTCCTTCAGCTAAGGGAAGTCAGCGCTGCTGTAAGTCTTGTGTGGTGTTTCTCAGAAGCAACCTGAGCGTTTCTGTGTCTTTGAGACAATGTGTTTGTCCTCACAGGCTGCCGTAGGCCCCCGTTTCTGTTATCATCTGCAGTAGATGTACTGCCCTAACTGAGCTTCAGCCCACCAGGAGCAGCTGGAGCTTTCACCTGTGCAACTGTGACTAAACCTGAAGCCAGTTTTCACTTTTTCTACATTGACACAGATTCCAATAAATGTATTTTTCCACCATGCTGACGCGTTTTTGGCTCGGTGTGTTTGTGTTGGTTTATGGCCATGAGATCGGCACAACGCTTTGATGCTTTCCTTCAACGTCTTGACACTCTGTCGTTTCACAGTCGGATGAAAACTGAGATGTCTTACAGAGTACCCTGTGTGTGTGTGTGTGTGTGTGTGTGTGTGTGTGTGTGTGTGTGTGTGTGTGTGTGTGTGTGTGTGTGCGTGCGTGTGTGCGTGTGTGTGTGTGTGTGTGTGTGTGTGTGTGTCTGTGTGTGTGTGTGTGTGTGTGTGTGTGTGTGTGTGTGTGTGTGTGTGTCTGTGTGTGTGTGTGTGTGTGTGTGTGTGTGTGTGTGTGTGTGTGTGTGTGTGTGTGTGTGTGTGTGTGTGTGTGTGTGTGCGTGCGTGTGTGCGTGTGTGTGTGTGTGTGTGTGTGTGTGTGTGTCTGTGTGTGTGTGTGTGTGTGTGTGTGTGTGTGTGTGTGTGTGTGTGTGTCTGTGTGTGTGTGTGTGTGTGTGTGTGTGTGTGTGTGTGTGTGTGTGTGTGTGTGTGTGTGTGTGTGTGTGTGCGTGCGTGTGTGCGTGTGTGTGTGTGTGTGTGTGTGTGTGTGTGTCTGTGTGTGTGTGTGTGTGTGTGTGTGTGTGTGTGTGTGTGTGTGCGTGTGTGTGTGTGTGTGTGTGTGTGTGCGCGCATCACACAGGAAATGAGATGGTGTCCCCTGTGCTTCACAAATCACTGCCAGAGCTGACGGGCCATGAAACGCCTGAGTACATTTAATATGCGGTCAGAATGTCTTTTTTGTCAAAAGCCATGTTGCACTTCCTTCTGCCTCACCATCACCCGATTAATAATCTGGCTGAATGTACTAGAGCTCATCTCTGACCCCTATGGATACCCATATGGGACCCAAATGTCTCCTGAACCTGGATGATTTTTATTCAAACCTCCAGAAAGTAATCAGATAAACATCAAGAACTCATTTTTGGAGTCACACAGTTGAAGATAACCAAACTCCGCATGTTGTCATTCACTCATTTTCTGGATAAAAACTCTGGTGTTCCTGTGTTAAGACATTTATCGGAGAAGTCGGGCGTGGAAATGACAGGATTATGAGTCGTTAATATCCAGCGGTCTCAGTGTGTAGGGTGTGGAAGTTCACCATGCCCTTTTTTTACCCTTGATCTGCACTTCCCTCCAGTCTGCATCGATACAGGCTTGGGTGAAGCGTATTACCCACAATCCAGTGCTGCAGGAGAAAAGCCTCAAGTTCCTTTCATTCATTTTAGGACGAGTAGTTGATGCTCTGAATGATTTAGACAAATCAGCGATGAATGTAA